TGCTGTTTCCAGACAGGGTCCAAGTAGGCCCCCAAAGCCGAGATGGGGGAGACTGGACTCACCACGGGTTTGCCGACTTCTAGCACAGGAAAATAATGATCACGATGAGTCAGAAAGAAGTAAAAGAGATTTAGTAGACAGAAGTTTAAAAGTACATGAAGTACTCAATCACTGGTGTACAGGCCCTGGAGAAAGAGAGAGAGAGAGAGGCACAGTGTGGGCCGGGGCTGGAGAGAGCTAGGTGTTTTTGGTGCGAATCTGTAGAAAGTTTGGGTTTGGTTTCAGGAGAAAAATCAATGGCCCACCCAGAGTAGACGGAATGACTCATTTCGCAGGTGAAAGGATGGTCCACTTTATAGGAGAAGGGCACAGGTGATCTAATTGTGTTTCTTAAAGTCTGGTTTCTGGCCGTCATCTTATCAAATAAGCTAACTTATGGATTTAAAATATCTTTAAGAGATTTCAGGCATGATGGTCCTGGAAGAAAAGAAGCATAAAGCAGCCTAGTCAGACGGTTGCACCTTCCTCCTCCCTGGCCTCTCTGATTTTCCTTGGTCCTTGGGACTCTATTCTCGCAGGAGCCAGAGCCATTCTGTTCACACCAGCGGTGCACTCGTTTCCAGGGACTGCTGTTTCAAAGCACCACAAACCCTGGCTTTGGACTCCAGGTTCCCCGGGGCTCTTCCTAGAACACTTGCTTTCTCCTTCCTGGCTTCACGGATGGCTGACACCCTTGGGGCTCCTCGCCCGGCATCCGTGTCACTTTGCTTCTGCCTCTGTCACTACGTGGCATTTTTCTTTCCCTGTCGTCGTCGGCTCACAGCCAGCTCCCTTTGTCGTCGTCGGCTCACAGCCAGCTCCCTTTGTATGAGGACGGCAGTCCTGTTGGATTAGGGCTCCGCTGTATTCCTATCACCGCATCTTAACTAATTATATCTGCCATGAGCTCATTTCCAAAAAAGGACATTTTGAAGTCCTTGGGGAGACAAAATTCAACCCATCACAGCCAGTCAGGCACAGTGTCCTCTGCCCAAACCCGCTGCGGGTCCCTCAGGCCACAGTGAGAGCAGAGTCTTGGTTATGTCCCAGCAGGCCCTGTGCACTCTGGCTGTTTCCTCAGGGAATACACTTGGGAATCACTGGCCTCCCGTGCCTGTCATCCAGCGGCTGGCACTAGCCTGCAGGACCTGAAACTCTTCCCCTTTCACCATATATGCATTTGACCAGGCTTATTCATTTCTAGTGTTTATTACCACCCAATATGGCATATATTTTGCTTATTTTTATTACCTGCATTATAATGTCACAACATGAGAAAACTGACCATCCAACGTGCACACACACATACACACACACACATACTCTCTCTCTCACACACACACACATCTGCATCTCCAGTGCCTGCAACCAGGCAGGTGTGTGATGCTTTTCCTCCCATTTGAGTCACACAGTAAGATTTGTCCCAGTTGCACATGGAACGGGGTTTGAAAGTTGGTGCTGATGCTCCCTGAAAGGTTGAGGAACAGAGTCACCAGAGGGGCAGGGAGTCCTGGAGATAAGAGTGTGGCATTTTAAGCACCGGGGTCAGAAGGCTTGACTAAGTGGGTGGGGAAACAGGGACTTTGGCTGTGGCCCTGGAGGTTATGTAGAAGAACCAGACCCACTGTGATAATTTGGTAGGGTTACTCCAGCCCCTTAGCTTGGTTTACACTTGCTCTCATGTGTGGCATAAGAGTAATGTGAATGAAAATGCCCATGGGAGCTCTTTCAATTTGCATAAAATGATTTAAAGACTAAATGGTAAAATGCACCAGATTAATTGGTAGCTTCTATAATCTCACAAAGATGAAAGTTTCTTTAATATTGGTTAGAAAAAACCATGGTGTACCTAAAGATGCTACCTTAGGTTCAATGAAAAACCAGAATGATGCTCAGGTATTTGTTGAATGACAGTTTACCCCTGTTCGCCTCCAGAAGACCCATAGGCATCTTCCTAAATCCCGCAGCGCCATCTGCAGGGAAGGGAGCTTCTGACAGCTTGTTTGCATAGAAGTCAGGATAGCTTATAGAGTTCTTGACTTTATAAATATCCTTTAAAACTTACAAAAGCTCATTTTCTTCAGAAGACAGGAGCTCAAAAAGCCAGGGATGGCCCTCAGGATTTCAATTGTTTCCTAGACATTAGGAGTTTTCTGTTTAACCATTAGGAGAATGACAATAAGGTCAGAAAACTGGCAATGTCACCATAACCATCTGAGGCTGTCTCATAAACCATCATGTTACTCTCGACCCATTTGAGGGTCAAAGCTGAGGTGGAAAGTCACTTTATGTGAACAAGACAGAGTAGGCATTGTCTCATATAAATTATAGGACGTAGTTAATGTTTATAAGTAACAATCTTCCTTTATTTTGACATTAAAAATAAAAGGGTGAGCTGCCTGTGGGCTGCAGGTAAGGACACACCATGAGTGTAGCCAGTTGAACAAGCTCTTTGTTTCTGTTCCCAAGTCTTTTCCTGAATGTCACCCTCAGTCGTCCACAGGGGCTGGGAGACCAAGAGCGTGACCCGACCAAGCGTCCCCTGGAAAGATTTCTGTTCACTGTTCTTTCAAGGACACATACAGGGGGGCTCACGTAGGCGTGGGCTGTTCGGTTTGTACTCATATTGTGTGTCGCTCACCCACGACGCAGGCTGGGCCTCTTCCCTCCTCTATCAGCAGATCCCAAGGGGCGTCCCGAGGGCCCGGGGTGTGAGCAGCGGGGAGAGGTGTGGTGCAGTGATCGGCACAGACCGCTGAGCCCCTGCTTGGCACCTTACGGGGCCCTCGGAGCTCCTTGGCATCTGTCGTGGACACGGCAGCTTCACCGTGTAACAGCCGACGTCTCACCAGTCTGCAAGGCCTAGCCCACGGGGGGAAGTTCCGGCTCCAGGGTCACTGGCTCTTGAGTCAGATGTTTCTCCTACAGCACAAGCAGCACCCAAAAGCTGCTGAGTTAAAGGTGTGTGTGCCCGACTCAGACAGCCTGGCTTTCTTTGAGAACTCTAGGGGTCTGTGTGGAGCGGTCCGTGGAGGCTTGTGGCGAGCTGCTGGAGGTATCTTCCTTGCTCTGGTTTCACCACGGCCACCTGCCTGCTCCGGGGGATCGCTCAACAGGGTCTGCGGCGAGCGCCTTCCCAACTGCATGGGCCAAGGGAAAGTGTTTTTAGCTGCGCACTTTGTTGCCCTCAGAGCTGGAAGAGACCTACTGAGGTCTGTGCTCACCTCTTCACAGTGGGAGGACGAGACCCTGTGACGGAATGTCCGTCCGGCACATCCCCGACCACGGGTGCGAACACTTCAGAGACGTTTTGGGACTTTAAAACTCAGGTGTCTCCGGGCTGTAGTGTGAGAGGTGACAGCAGTGCTGAGGCTATGGGACAACACCATGGACTCACACTGTTGTCTGTTCCAAGTGAACTTACTTTCTGATTTGCCATGGCCAGATCAGCAGCCACACATCCTATCTTGCTCTTACTTTCTCTCTCACCCCTGAACACAATGACTTCACAATGTCCCAAATCCAGAAATCACCAAGGCATCTTCTGTTCTCACCGGAGCCGATGAGGTGTAATTTCTCTAGAACTTCATTAGTACAATTTCCTGTACAGTTGCCTGGAATATTTGTTAAAATGCAAATTCCCCATCCCTACCCAGTGCATCCAGATAAGGCCTATCATTTCCACTTTAAACTAAGTAACCAGGTAATACTTAGAGTTTGTCTTCGAACACCCCAGGAAATATTAAAGAAATATTTCTTGACCCTTCTGTTTGTTTGAAATCTCATTTAGTCTTCAGTTCGGAATGAGCCAAGAGGGCTGAGCCAGCTCCTACTGTGGTTCCTACTTCTGTACCCAACACATGACCATGACCTATAAAAACACAAGAGAAAGCTAAAAACTCGATGAAAATGCCACAGGGCAGCAGTAAAATGGAGCCGTGAGAGGGAGGACACCGCTGCATGACGGGTTTGAGGGCCTGCATCTGGCTTGTTACGGGACGCGCTCCACATGGGCCGGGAGCAGTGCTGAGCTCAGTGCATGAAACCAGAGGTCCGAGTGCCTCCCTCCACCCTCGCCTCTGCTTCATCTCCACCTGGAGCCTCCGTCTTCCCTCCCACTGCCACCTTCCTCTCCATCTCTTCCTGTTCCTGGTGGTCAAAGCCCCTCTCTTCCTGTGACCTCACTGCCACCACCTTTAACTAAACCCTTCTCGGACTAAACCCTTCTTCACACTGGATTCCAGGAGCCACAGAACATGAGGATATTTCCCGGGTGTCTTCCATCTTTCTTTTCTCTTTGGAGCTGGATTATGGGAAACTTTAAATCACAACAATACATTTGTTTCTAGGCAGTTCTTTAATCAATCCCAGACAGATTAGTGGGATATCCAGGCTATGCCATTTCTGGATTAACCTTTGACCACACGTACTAAACAACTAATGAAAATACAAACTCACATACAACAAGTTTTACATAGGACAAATCACTATACCACAGTTGTTTTAGTTCATTTGAGATGCTGTAACAAAATGCCCATAACCCGGGTGGCTTACAAACAACAGAGGTGGACCTCTCACTCTTCTGGAGGCTGGGAGTTCAAGGTCGAGGCACTGGCTCATCTCGGGTCTGGCGAGGCCCTGTTTGCTAGTTTGTAGTAGGCGTCTTCTCGGGGTCATCACTCAGTGGAGGTAAAAGTAGGCTACCCAGCCTGAACCTGATTTATGAGTGTGCTAATCTCATCTGCAAGGGCCCCACCTCCAAGATCCAGTTGCCTCCCAAAGGCTCACTTCTTAATACTGCACCATTGAAATTAGGTTTCCACAGATGAATTTGGGAGTCGGGGAAGAGACGTTTAGACCATAGCAACATTAATAAACAACAGACAATCTGTTAAGAGAAAGCATTTTATTATAGCTCTTCACAAAGCTAAAAACAGGAGGATCCTCCTTAATAAGGGGTCAGGAAAGTATAAAGAGCCATTTCATTAAAAATCAAGTCGTTTAAAACATTTTAAAATGTAAGATAGGCAGGATCCTTAGGCACAGCTTCTAACATGTCCAGCGGCAGCAGCCACAATTTCTGGGCATTATTTCCGCTTCTGAAAACTCAGGTGGAGAAAGAGCAGTGGAGAAGCACTGGAGCAGGGAGTTTGCTCTGCAGAGAGAAGGATCAGAAACTTCTGTTGCAGTGTTTTCTGAAGTTTTGTCTCGGGAGAGCCAGTGTTCTTAAATCTCTGGGACAGGTAGAGAGGGTAGGAGGAGAAGAGGTGCTGTTTGGGGTCACGTCCCCACAGAACTGAACGTAGGCACTGCATCTCTCTGACGAGTATTTGGCCTTCTCGTCACTAGGAGTTCAGTGGAGATTTGCAGAATGTACTCAATACTACACCACCCCTAACACACCCCAAGTGTGGAAGGGTGGGCACCATCTTTCTGATATTCAGCTCCCTCTCCTTTTACATGTTAGAGAATTGATTTTAATTGACAAATAAAAATTATATATATCATGTAGCACATGATGTTTTGAAATGTCTGGACATAGCCGAATGGCTAAATACAGCTCTTTTCCTTCAGACATAGCTACATGCAAAGCTGGAAACACATGTAGGTATGCAGGAGTTCAGAATTTCCCTTCACAGTTGTCTCGGAAGGAAGAGCCACTTACTTTAGGGAGTGTACTCCCTGGCAGGAAGACGTAAGCCCTTTCAGGACAGATTTTGGGTCTAAGATATTTCCAAGTGTGGCTTCTCAAGGGCCATTTATGCCGTCAAAGTCTGCATTCTTTGAAGCATTTCTAATATTACTACCAACATCAATGTATGCATTCTGGTAAAAATATTTCACTTAGTGGGTCTTATCCAAGGTTCCTGAAGGAAAATCTTTGCCCCAAGTTTCTTCTTTCACTTAATATCAAACCAACAAGGGCCACCATAAAACCAGTCTCCTAATAAGCAAAGATGCATTGATCAGCTTACATATAAAAATTGGATCAGTTTCCTTGTGGAACTGTTTGCTAGTCTAAGACACACTCGGACGGCTTCCATGTACGCCCCTCTGAGTAGCCTCACCTCAAGTTTGCAGTTGCCTCTGCAAAGTGTACAGGGCTCTTCCTGAGCTCTCCGAGGAGCTCTCCGAGGAGCTCTCCCAGGAGCTCTCCGAGGAGACATTCTCTTCACAGGCGTTGCGTTCTTTGTTTTTGATAGCAGCTGGATGGCTGCAGAAAGGCAGGAAAGATAAGAAGGAGGGGTGGGTCCGAGACTACTCCCGTCCCGTCCCGTCCCGTCCCGGTGTTGGAGTCTCAGGACCCAGCCAAGGCCCGGTCCTTGCCTTTCCCGACTTGCACCCTTTCCTGCCAGTCATGATGGAGCCCTGGGAAGGGCTACTGTTCTATTCTCTGTCTGAAGACTGGGTCATAAGTGTAGTGCCCGAACCCAGTAAGCTTTATGTCAATGAGGGCCACTCCCAAAACCCCACCAGAGACGCTGGCCAAGTCATCAATTTAGAGTTTGATGATCTCAGACCACCAATACTGGGTGGTGTCCAAGCGAGCCCCTAGCTGCATGAAAATGTAAATGCTACCTAGAGATCACGGAGATGGTGAAAACCTTTAACTACTTAAAACAAACATTTCAGTTTGCAACTCCTCCCTCCCTGGCCTGCAGGTTCACAATAATAAAACTGTCTGCTCTCATCACCGTGTTAATTTATTTCAGGTCTCTAACGTTCCTGATTGGTCCCGGCGAAGAGATGAGAAACAGACTTTGTAGTACGGATATTAATTATAACGTACTGAATTCTCAGTGCAAGAGCTGTTCAGGATAGAGTGAAGTTAGCCGTGTAGCCTTACACGCAGGCCTGTGCCGCTGCGCAGAGACTCAGCTCGCAGCAATCACGGCACTGGCCGCTGGGTCCCGTGTGCATCTGGAATTCCGTGCTGCCCCTTTTACGTGCAGGACCTCATTTAACCCTCACCCTACACTTGTGAAACAGGCACCGTCTCTGCTCTTTAAAGATCAGGAAAAGCCGCGGAGCTCAAAGACAAGGAACAGAGGAAAACACTGCACGGAGAGAGTGAGACTTGCACGGGGAACGGGGCAGTGCCGACCCAGTGACTCCACCTCCCCGTGCGAACTCCCCACCCCTGCCAGCCAGTGAGATGCACGTAGCAGAGGCAGAGGGAGCGCAATGGGTTGGGCAGGGCGAACTCACCGGGGCACAATGCAGACCACGGGTATTGTTGCGTAAACGTCTGACAGCATTGATACAAAGAAGATTTCAGACTCGAAAAGGAGCAGATCCTCTGGAAGAACCTGAGGCAACAAAGGAAAAGTCAGAGTTGGCCCAAAGACCTGTCAGGGGACAGTGGCCCAGGGCTCGGCTGGCCCACACGGTCCTGATCGCTGAAGGTGCCTTCCCGGGGACCAGAGGGCCGTTTTCTAAGTAGCCAAGAAGGACAGACTCCGGGAATGGGACAGGCTGGAGGGAGGCCGGAGGAGCACCTGTCACTTGAGGTTTGCTTCGAATCTGTTATTCATTCGGATCAAGAGAGGGCTTACAACTTATTCTTTGTGAAGCTTTTCTATACATTTTGGCCTTGAGATGCCAGACAAAGTCCTTGAAGGCCAGATGAGTAAAAAGTACGATAGATTTTTATAAGGCGTACATCGGTTAGGTTACATGTTCTTCGGAAATAGCACATGGCTTGGGAAAATGTGAAAGATGCATAGCAAACATGCAGACTTCGCTAATTTCATCGTCTGGGAAGTACCACAGTGAATTTTTGCGTATATTCTCTTCATTTTTAATATTCACTTAAAATGACCAAAATTTCACTGATTGTTCTGGCCGTACGAGCTCTCATTAACACCCTAACATTTTATATTGTGCCATGAACATCGTTTTAAATTCTATTTTAGAAAAGTTAAAATTAAAAGAAAATTAAGAGAAAAGATACTTCGGCCAAGGTTTCTCATAGAAGGTCAGAAGGGATGAGACTGGTTTTGTCTGAAGGCAAAATATCCCTCAGGGCTTGTAGACTGCCCGTCCCTGTCCCCCTCCCTGTGCCCGCCTTTTACCCGTCCTGGCCCTCAGACAGGGAAGGGCTACTGGAGTCTCCATGGGGCTGAGACATCCGGCTGTCAGACGATACTCCCTTGTCACTTGAAAGTGTCAGGTGTGACAACCATGCAGGTGACTCCACATTTTCCTGTGCCACAAAGGGCTGGCAGTTTCCCGAGTGCCGTGGAGCTGCCTGGCTGGCTCTGCTGCAGAGCATTACATTTCTGTTACGGACCGGAGCCCAGGTTCTTTGGGCTTTGGGGGTCCTGGGTCCTCTGTCCCAGTTACTGGGTTTTGCTCTTGTGGGTGAAAACAGCCACTGACAGGAAATACATGAACAAGCATGGCTGTGTTCCGATACAGCTTTACTTATGGACACTGCAATTCAAACTTTGCATTTTTATATTTATTATTTTTCTACAATTTGGGCTATAAACAATATTCTTTTTTTATTCACTAAGTTTATTGGCACATTTTAGGGCTACAATGTGACATTCCTCGTTGAGAATTTGTAATTTTACATGACGTACCTTGGTTCTTATTTTTTTCCCCATTCCCCTGTCCTCCCTTCACCCCCTCCACCTCTCCATATATATATATATATATATTCTTTTTTTTTTTTACTGGGGATTGAACTCAGGACCTTGTGCTTGCAAGGCAGGTGGCAGCAGCACTCTGGCCCTCACATCTCCCTATTTACAAAGACTTTTTTCTGTTTTTTCCTTTTCTCATATTTATTTCTTATTCTTCTTCCCTTTCCCAACCCCTCCCCCCCCCTTCCCCTTTGGACCTCTTTTCCATATTACACAGTATCTATTATACATTTTGATCCTTGTTTACACTTTCATTTTCTAACACCAGAGAAACTATTTGTATTTACACATGTGTGTCCTATTTATTTCACTTAGAAGAGTATGGCCTCAGTGTGCATCCACTTAGCTATAAATGCCTCTAGTTTCTTGTTCTTTATGGCTGAGTAGTACTCCGTTTTACTAAAAACCCACATTTTCTTTATCAAGTCACCAATTGACAGGCAACTAGGCTGTTTCCAAGCTTTAGCTATGACAAACTGTGCTGCTCTGGACATTGGGTATGCATCTGTCACTGTGGTATGATTCTTTTAATTCTTCACAAACACTATTCTTAGTGGGTGACAAAAAAAAAAAAAAAAGGGATAGGCCAGATTAGGGCTGCAGACTCTGAGTAATTTATTGCCTCAACTTAAAAAAAAAAGCCCATTCTTTTTCTTATATGAGGACAAATTCCACATCTTCCTTAGAAACTGACAAATGAGAACTTACCACTTGTTGGCTCATTTTTTCTTGCCTTTCATGGCCCATGTGACAGTTGGCAAAATCAGTTGAGCCCATTACCAGAAATAAAGAACGCCCCCAAACCTTGGCATGGAGTCGCGTCTGGGAAGATTTAGTGAGTTAGGCAAATATCTCATTACCTCAGTCCTGATCTCACACTGATTGGTGTGGTACAGAAACTGGTAGAATCCGGGATGTACAGAGCTTACAGGACAGGTACGCCCTAGATACACTTCTTCAGGGGCCATTGGGATGTCACTGTCAAATGCATTTTGCTTGACTCTGGCGAGGAACCAAGTGGGGCTGCATCGTACATAGACTGTGGAGAGGCAGAAGGGAGACAGTCAGACAACACGGTGGCCCAGAAGGTCAGGGACACACAGATAGAAGGCGCTCCCATTCGCAGAGGAAAACACACAGTAGACAGGATCTCTGGACCTCTCTTTTAAGACACCCAATGTCCTCTCATCCCCAAGAAGAACCCAGGGGATGCTGCACAGTGGACCCTTGACTTGCAAACTCAGCTCGTTCCTGAGGGCTGTAACTCAGGTTGGTCAGTGAAGGCTCAGGCCCCTCTACACAGCCTTCAAAGTCTCTCTCCTGCACACAGCCGACCTCAGCATCCTGAGAGAGGCGCTGGCCCAGGATTTCCCAGTGAACCCCACACAGGAAAGGATGCTGTGATGCTCCTTTCAGAAGTCTTTAAGGATTAAATCTGTATCTGAGACCATCTGGAAGCAAAAGCAGCCAGCATTCTGTTGTAACTCAAGACTTTGATTATAAGTTACAACTAAAATTCTGGTCATGACCCAAGTTGCTTGTATGTCAGGCCAGTTGTAACTCAAGAGTCCACTGCATATGAGTGAGAATCAACCCAAAGGTAAAGTCAGTTCCACTCTCCAGTTATGCAGTAGAGACCTTCTCCGGGGTGGCACTGCTGTTCGTAAGTTTAGCCAATGAGCTGTCATTTCCAATTTAAACTCTTAGAAAGCAGAACATGTGTTCCAATTCTGGTATCTGTGTTCAACCTTAGTACTTTGTGAAGCAGCAAACACAGTATTGGACTAAACGGATACTCGTGAAGTCAGGGCAGACAGAAAGGTAGCAATCAGAGCTCAGCCCAGGGCATTTTTCCAATATTTTTTTCTCTTACTATTGTGACATAGTAATTACACTCTTTACTTTTCCTCTTTCCATTAGAGTAGAAGCTGCACAAGAATAGAAATGAGTTCCATTTTGGTCTTTGCTGAATCAGAGCCAAGAACAAGCCCACAAGACGTGTACATGGTGTGATTGGGGAAAGGCGGTATGGACGATACCACCCGTGCTGAGAAGGAGCCCGCCCGGGGCCCTGTCTGACCACCGGGCTGTGATCGACGTGGGCTGGTGCAGAGCGGGAGACAAAAAGAACTCTCCTGGGTCTTGCTGACAAGGAGCTGGAAAGAGCAGCTGGCTTCAAGATTGGCTAAATCCTGAAAGAGGTCTGAACCTATAATCAGCGTACTTATTTCTCACCTGTTATTGTATTTCTAAAATACACTTCCGATGTATTCTGATGGTAGACGTCGTGATGGGAAGACACGCAAATGTGCTCTGCGATGACTCCACGGTGAAGCAGATCCGCAGAGCCTCCCGCAGCCTCCCATTCTGGTCCTTTGTGGCGAGAGCAGCTGTGGCCTGTTTCCTTAGCGGAGTTCCTGAGCACGTCGTCCCCAGCAGCCCCGTGTCGCCCGCTGGTCCCCACACTTGCACATTCACGTCTGCTTTGTACTTCCTGACCCACAGCCTTTCATTTCCCTCCTCCAGCCCAGCGCTCAGTGTTTTACTCTGGTTTTGTACATTTGCTTTCTTTCTCATTAAGCTTCTCGGTTCATCTTAGGTGTACATTATGATCACATTCATCATGGGGAACCTGCATCTTTACATGATCCATCTTGGTTCTCATTTTTTCCCATACCCCTGCCCTCCCTTCATCCCCTCCACCCCATCCTACCTGCAAATAGGGTTTCCATTCTTGTCTTTTCTCATACTGATTCTTTTCCTTGTTTCCTTTCCCCTACCCCTCCCACTTTCCCTTTGGATAAAAATGCATAATAGGTAATGCATATTTGATTTAAAATTCTTTTCACTGATAAGTGAGATCAGAGAATGTTTTTCTTTCTGCATTTGACTTCTCTTACTTAGCATTGTAACCTCACCGTCCATACACGCTGCGGCAAATGGCAGGACCTTCCCGTTTTTAAAAGGCTGAGTACTGTTCTGCTGTGTGCACGTATTCGCCATGAGCCAGAGGGGACCTGATTCATGACATAGAAACTCATTTGGTGGGGCAGGAGGGCGGGAGTGAGGGTCAGGAGTGAAATCAGAGGGGTCAGCTACTGAGGACATTCTGGTACACCAGGAACAGCTGTGGTGGCTTGTAACTTCAGTTGCTGAAAGCATGGAAAGAACCAGAGGATTCTAGGAAGAGTGTGGATGCACGCAGATATAGGGCTTAGGAAGAAAAGGGTAATTTTATAAGTTTTTCCACCCTGAGAATCTGAATAAATGATGCTGCTATTGCCTGAGATAAACTGGGAAGAGAGAAGCTTATGATTTGAAAAAGCATGCATTTTTGCTTTAGAAACAGTAGTTTTAACATGCATAATGGACATTCAAGTTAATATCTTGCATAGGTAGTACAGCTCAAAAGAGATGTTACCATCAGTGATAAGAGCTCTGAGAATCCACCATATAGAAGATACTAAATTAAACTTACATGTGGCAGAGAAGAATTGAAGGATCTCACCCAAACTTCTGAGATATATATATATATTGGTACCCAGGCCTTCTCTTCCGAATTTCTGGGATTTTTTTTTCAAACTCTTAGCATTTTGCTCTACCAAGCCAAAAAATAAAGGTCTCTCTGAGGATCTAGAAAGCATTTCATAGCCGTGCTGTGAGGGTAGATTTATACCCATCATTTCCCAGAGTCGGATATACGAGAACCCTTCAGCCCCACGCTCCTGACAGCATGATACGACCTCCAGGGGAGAAGGGACAGGAGAGGAAGACACCAGTGCTCAAGCCCGGTGAGGACAGAAGGGATTCCAATGTCTGCCACTGAGAACGGAATATTTAGCCCCTTAGCTATTAGCAACACAGCAACAAACTGAAACATCCACATTGGAAAAAGCCAAAACCAAAGCCAACGCATTATTATTATTGTTGTTGTTATCATTTGCAGGGCTGGGGAGTGGACCCAGGCAAGCACTCTACAATTGAAGTCACACCCCCAGCCCTTATGCCTTATTATTGGTGACTCCCACCTCTCTATTATTTTGTAAATACCTGGCTGCTCTCCCAAGTCCAAAGAGCAAGTCCCAATCAGAGAAAAAAGAAGCAGCAGCTTTCCAAACTCCAGGAAATCCTCCATGTCAGAGCTCAGGGCAGCGCCCAGCTGGAGAGCAGGAAGTGGCTCAGGGCCCACCTGACAAGCTTTGTACCTCCAGGAACCCATCAGATGTCCTCAATAATCCGTCCTGAGGGTGGCCTGGATGGGAACAGCCTCTACTTGTTACAGACCCGAGCTTCTGAAACTTAGCGGTGTGACAGGTACTAAAGATCAGGGAGGCCAGCAGAGCGATGGGCCACCTGGAGCTCCCCATGGAGGGTACCTTCTGTGGGTCCCAGGACATATCTGGGGCTCATTTCTTGCAGCTGCAGGATCGCTGAGTTTCAGAGGGCTGGTCAGGTTTCTTGCAGGTTTTTTTGTTTTTCCCTAACCTTTCCATTTCTGCACAGCCATATCTGTAGGTGGGGTGGGGTTTGGCTATGAGCATCTTCAGGGGGCACTGCCTTTGTGGCAGAACCCTAAAGCAGTACTCTGAGGTTCGGTGGGACCCGGACAGACACTTTTGCCTGCTCTACATTATCACTATGAGGCAGCCTTTGTCGGGGACTATTCTTAAGGCTAGTTCTTGTTTGTTTGTTTGTTTGTTTTTCAGACAGGATCTTGCTATGTAGCCCAGCCTGGCCTCGAACTCATGGGGATCCTCCTGCCTCAGCCTTCTTAGGGCTAGGATTACAGGTCTTGCTACCATGCCCAGCTAGGCTAGTTATTGATTCAATGTTGGGAAATACTTAGTGCTAAAGTAGAATTCCTTTATCACCTGGAAATCCTAATGTATTTTTTTAAAATCAAGAGCTCACTTTAGAAAAAAGAGATTATCATTTGGCTCACGTGAAGCATATTAATTTTATATGAAATTCTTTGCTGGAGATTTGAATAGTAAACCCGAATCACCTTCACTTGTTTAAAAAAGTGTGGATCACTGGTCCCGATCACCAGGATTTCCAAGCTGGTGAACCTGGGGCAGAATCCAAGGGTATGCATTACTTGTGTGTTTCCAGATATGACTGTTACTCTCAGTAGTGAGTCCACGCTTTGTGGACCATAATTGTTTGATTAAAATGGGGAGATAGAGGTCTCTCGTAATATAGATGATGACCAATTTTATTGTCATTTGTTTAGGATGAATTTACTTCTCAGTGTTCTAGTTTGAAAAATCAAGGGTGAATAGTTTTTGTCTATATTTTAAAGAATTTTACCCCCTTCCTTTTGTAGTCCAATCAAGTACTGTAACTGATTTTATCCTTGAGGTCAGGGATTTGTTTGTTTGTTTGGTGCCGGGGATTGAACTCAGGACCTTGCACTTGCGAGGCAGGCAGAGGAACCACTGAGCTAAACATCTGGCTCCCAGGGATTTTTTTTTTTTTAAATCTTTGAATTTATGTGCGAAAAGGGGTAGGGGTAAGAAATGGGAATAATAAAAACCATGGAATTATTATTGTTTGTCAAGTTTTCTGCATCTTACAGGTACATTTTGCTGTGTGTGAGACGACGGAGGATGGTTACCCTGATGAAAATGTGAGGTTTCATCGCGTTTAGTTTGGTATGAGCAGGACACACCAGTATCACCGTAAGCCCTAATGTGGGTGGGTGGCATTGCCTAGGACAAAGCTACAAATGGGAGTGCAGTGTGACTCACCTGCTCAGACCGTACAGACGGTCTGCATTCAGACTTGCACATCACACATTAAAGCACCGGTGACCACACACGTTCCCATTTCCTAGCCACTCTGGAAAGTGCACACTTACAAATTAAGCTGAGATGGACCGGCCGTTCATCTTACAATGGCCTGGTCAAACTTCTCGGGAGGTAGGCAGTGTTTTTGTACTAAAAATAGGCATGAGGATGACTACTTCAATTGCTCCTGTTTATAAATCCTATCACTTTTAACCCCACAATGTTTGACTCTACTTGGGAAAGGAATTCTGGAGCCCTTCTCCTCTGGGTCCCTTCTTTACAGTTCATGTCCCCCCCAGTCTGTGGCTTGGACTGGTGCAATAGCTTAAAGTTAAAATGGCTGCATTCCACCAACACTGTTAAACGAGGAGAAAAAGCAGTCAGCAACCTTTGGGTTTACCGAGCAGCTGAAATTCGAGCAACAGTAGGCTACGTGAAGGAAGGACGGAGTGCTGCTCTCCTCTTGCTGATCCCAAACAGTCTCCCTCCTCACTGACAGTCCCCAGGGGCCACTGTCCAGGGGCACTGCACTCGGGAGGAATCCTCGGAGCTCTCTGGTTGAGGCACAGAAGTCCAAGTTCCCGGACCTGTGACATCTTTGTAGGACTTGAGCCCTTTGACGACAGGTTCCATGTTGTGGGTCTTTAGCCACATGGTAGCAGACGTGCGCTCTGTGGAGAGAAGCCAGTGACTCGAGGTCACAGGAGTAGGAAGAGCTGGGACCATGCATCATGCCGGCTTGTTGGTCTTCCGTCTGACCACCCCACCTTCTCCCGGGAGACTGAGATGTTTGATTTATGCTTGGCCTGGACTCTTTTCCTGAGTTTTAGGGTCACCTCTCTGGTTAGCTGCTAGAATTGAAGAGGATATTTGACACAGTCCTTTCAGCGAGGACATTTTCTTAGAGAACTCATGATTTCAACCCACTTCCTATTTTCTCCTTATCTCCATCAATAGCACCGCAATCCATGTGATACCCAAGCTTATTCCCAGCTCCTCTCCCTTCATACCCACATCCTCTGTACTGCAGTCTTTTCACTTTTATCTTCAAAGTTTATCTCACCCCTGTTCATGTCCACATCAACACCCAGGTCAAGTTACCACTGTCTTACTCCAGAACTGGTCAGCAGCCTGGTGCGGGGGTGCCCACCTCCTGTTTCCCTCTCTTTGTAGGACAGATGTCACCAGCATGCTACAACTTCCCAATTGTTTTTTCTCAGAATCTGTATAAAATCTGAAATCCTTGTGGCCACTAACACCCTTATTGCCCTGGTTACTGAATTTCCAGCTCTTGGAGGAACAAACACCTTCAATGTCCTTTCTGGGGTGCTCTGGGAAGCAGTTGGACACCTGGAATCGAGGGCAGTTTGAGGTCAGTCTTTGTAGGATGCTGAAGGCCAGTCCATGCCTGACCTCCTTGACTGAAGGGAGTACTGGATTGTTTAAGAAAGGGATTGTTCAGAGTTGTAGTTCAAGAAAAACTGACACTGATAATCCAGAGGGGAAGAGAGGCAATCACATAAGGGAGGCCAGTTACGAGTGTCTGATTGAGTAATTCAGTCATGTGGAAGAGAAATTGGCCCAAGGGTGACTTCTTGGGAAATTCCAGGAGCTCCCACATAGGAGGAAGTGGGAGGTGAGGAAGAGACTAACTCTGGGAAAACCCAGAGGAAATAACAGCAACTTGAGTACCGCACTCATCCAACAGCGTTTTCTGGGCCCAAGGGGAGGATAAAGCATGGTACTGATGAGAATTACTAAGTTCTGTTAGGATGGGACAACAAAGTCCTAGCAACCAAAAGACCTGGGACTCTCATCATTGAGAAATTATCCCATCAAAGCACCCCCAGTCCATGTTCACTTTGATACCAGAGCAAATCCACATCAAGGAAACAAGTAACAGCAGCTGCCCTTCCAGCCTGAGCAAAGCCTCCATCATGCTACCCATTGGGCTGAGGCCTCTGCAGGCAACAAGCAGACCAGAGGACCTGGGAAGCCTGAGTACTTTAATACCCAGGGCCACTCAGATGTGCTCAGTTAGCCCAATTTAGAGAGCAGAGAGGGCACTGGTGCATTGTGAGCGCCGGCCCCTGACCCTATCCTAATCTCTTGGGTGTAGAAAGCCACAGCATCCTATAAAGTGAACCCAGCCAAGCCTGATGGAGTGCTTGCTCACTGAATTGATTTTCCTTCTGGGACCTTTGAAGACCTTGAAAAATGTCATTCATTGGCCAGTTTTTTGGTATTCTTTGAGTTGATTTGGGGATGCCATAAAGCTGTGCCTAGTGATGCACTTACTCTGTTGTTGGAGTCATACATTTAGTCTGAATTCCTTGGGTGCTTGCAGGAGCCACAGCAGCAGCTGCGGGGTTACCCAGTGTGAGCAGTCCAGGAGGGAGAAGCCAGCAGGCCAGGAGGTGCTCCTTGAACAAGCCTGTATTGTGCAAAAATGTCCCTTGGTAGAGTCCTAGTCTTTTCAGTGATTTCTTAGTGTCTTCCACAGAGGTCTTTATCTTTTTCTTTTCCACCAAGTCTTTCCTATCCCAAGAGAAACAGTGGGCTACCAGGCACTGGTGGATGCTTCTGGCTGAACACCTCCCATTTAGTCTGTATTGCCTGAAGGTTTTCAAAATTCCTACCATCTATGAGAAGCTTACGTTTCTTCAAGATGACGCTAATGAACGCATTCATTTGACTAGTAGCATCACTTTTCCCATACTGGGATTTGTACAAGCTCAAGGATATGCTGTCAGTGTGCGAGCACATAATTGAAGATAAAAGTCAGATATGGCAAGTTATTAAGGGGCTCCTGGAGAATCTGTTAAGAGAGATGCTTCTCTGGAAAACAATTTAAAATGTTATTTAAAATGCAAATAAAAGGATGCCATTTTATAAAGGAAAGGAAAATTCTTATGAATACTGAGAACAAAGCTCTATCTCAAGTATAAAGCTTCTGTGTAACTTTATCCACACTATGGTTTTGCATGCCATTGGAGCTGCTCCTGCAGTGCCACCATGCAAAGGAAGCTCAGGATTTTGTCCAGGAACATCCTAGACAGGAGCTGAGGCAATTGTATTAGGGCACATTGTGCTTAACAAGCTTCCAGATCAGGAATAGAAATTCACGCATTCCTGCATTAGTGGAAGGTGTTACTGATCATAATAGTCTTGTTATTCTGTCATTATCTCGTAAATTTTCTATATAAATAAAAGGTCTCCATGGCCAGCTTCCGGACTGAGCCCCTTTGGGTGGATACCAGTCCAGAAATCCACAGTGCCGCCATGGGCACTTTTGCTACTTTTGAAGGAAACACCAATTCCTCATAGCCCCAGGGAAGATTGTGCTGAATAGCTGACTCATAATATAATTTGATACAAAACCTAATTGAAAAAATGAAACACATGCATATCCACTAAACTCTAAATATTATATGGCTTTTATAACCCAGCATGGCATGTCACCTTAAGAAAGTGGCAGACATAAAGGCAATGATATAAAAAGTTCTTCAAATCTCTTTGTGAACAGTATAAATTCCATTTATGTCATCAGGACCTAAATGTGTCACTGGAAGCTGTTACGAAGTGGTAATAGTAATGGTAACTGCTGCAATATCATCAAGCAACATATAAATTATTCTTCTGTACCACCTACATGGAGATTCTGAAATTGCAAATCCCTCCCCTTGGTGGTCCATTAGCCACATTTCACATATTGCATAGGACAGGATTTCAGACGCATTCCGTGCTTGGGAAGACACATGGAGAATATAATCTAGACCCCCCTTTTATATTTCCCTCATCCGATTTTCTGAATCATTATCATCAATCACAATTATTTCACCCTGGAAGAGGAAAAGCTGGTTGTGGTGAGGGCTTTGGCCGTGTTTCCTTTTTTTTTTTTTTTTTTCCTTTTTTTTTTTTTTTTTTTTTTATGGTACTAGGGAT